TGGGCGTGCGTGTGTGGGTGTGCGTGTGGATGTGGCTGTGTGGGTGTGCGTGCGTGTGTGGGTGTGCGTGTGTTGGTGTGCGCGTGTGGGTGTGCGCGTGTGGGCGTGCGCGTGCGGGTGCGCGCGTGCGGGTGCGCGCGCGTGGGCGTGCGCGCGTGGGTGTGCGCGTGTGGGTGTGCGCGTGTGGGTGCGCGCGTGTGGGTGCGCGCGTGCGGGTGTGCGCGCATGGGCGTGCGCGAGTGGGTGTGCGCGTGTGGGTGTGCGCGTATGGGTGTGCGCGTGTGGGTGTGCGCGTGTGGGTGGCGGGTGTGCGCGCGTGCGGGTGTGCGTGTGTTCGGGTGTGCGTGTGTGCGGGTGTGCGGTGTGTGCGGGTGTGCGTGCGTGAGGGTGTGTGTGTGTGCGGGCGTGCGTGTGTGCGAGTGCGCGGGTGTGCGGGTGTGCGTGTGCGCGGGCGTGCGCGTGTGCGGGCGTGCGCGGGCGGGTGTGCGTGGGCGGGTGTGCGCGTGTGGGTGTGCGCGTGTGGGTGTGCGCGCGTGGGTGTTCGCGTGTGGGTGTGCGCGCGTGGGCGCGCCCGTCTGTGGGTGCGCGCGTGTGGGCGTCCGCGTGTGGGTGTGCGCGCGTGGGTGTGCGCGTGCGGGTGTGCGCGTGCGGGTGTGCGCGTGTGGGTGTGCGCGCGTGGGTGTGCGCGTGTGGGTGTGCGCGTGTGGGTGTGCGTGTGTCGGTGTGCGGGTGCGGGTGCGCGTGTGGGTGTGCGCGTGCGGGTGTGCGCGTGTGGCTGTGCGCGTGCGGGTGTGCGGGTGCGGGTGTGCGGGCGCGGGTGTGCGCGTGCGGGTGTGCGGGCGCGTGTGTTGGGGTGCGGATGGTCGGGCGCGTGTGTGCGGGTGCGGGTGTGTGGGTGTGCGTGTGCGGGTGCGCGGGTGCGGGTGTGCGCGGGTGTGCAGGTGCGGGTGTGCGGGTTTGGGTGCGCGGTTGCGGGTGTGCAGGTGCGGGTGCGCGGGTGCGGGTGCGCGGGGGTGCGGGTGCGCGTGGGTGAGGGTGCGCGGAGGTGCGGGTGCGCGGGGGTGCGGGTGCGTGGGTGTGCGGGTGCGTGGGTGTGCGGGTGCGCGGGTGTGCGGTTGCGCGGGGGTCCGGGTGCGCGGGGGCGCAGGTGCCCGGGGGCGCGGGTTCGCGGGGTGCGGGTGCGCGGGTGCGCGGGTGCGCGGGGGTGCGGGTGCGCCGGGGTGCGGGTGCGCGGGGGTGCGGGTGCGCGGGTGCGCGGGTGCGCGGGGGTGCGGGTTCGCGGGTGTGCGGGTGTGCGTGTGTGCGGGTGCGTGTGTGTGTGTGCGGGTGCGCGTGTGTGCGGGCCCGCGTGTGGGCGGGTGCGCGTGTGTGGAGGTTCGCGTGTGTGCGGGTGCTGTGTGCGGGTGCGCGGGTGCGCGGGTGCGCGTGTGCGCGGGTGCGCGTATGCGCGGGTGTGCGGGCGCGCGTGTGTGCGGGTGCGCGTGTGTGCGGGTGCGCGCGTGCGCGCGTGCGCGCGTGCGCGGGTGCGCGGGTGCGCGGGTGCGCGGGTGTGCGGGTGTGCGGGTGTGCGGGTGTGCGCGTGTTCGCGTGCGCGTGTGTGCGGGTGTGCGTGTGTCCGGGTGTGCGCGTGTGCGGGTGTGCGCGTGTGCGGGCGTGAGGGTGTGCGAGTGTGCGCGTGTGCGCGTGTGGGTGTGTGCGTGTGTGCGTGTGTGCGTGTGTGCGGGTGTGCGTGTGTGCGGGTGTGCGGGTGTGTCGGTGTGCGTGTGTGCGTGTGTGTGTGTGTGTGTGTGTGTGTGTGTGTGTGGGTGTGCGTGCGTGCGTGTGTGCGTGTGTGCGGGTGTGCGTCTGTGCGGGTGTGCGTGTGTGCGGGCGTGCGCGGGTGGGTGTGCGTGGGCGGGTGTGCGTGGGCGGGTGTGCGCGGGCGGGTGGGCGTCGGCGCGTGGGCGTGGGCGGGTTTGCGTGGGCGGGTGGGCTTGGGTGGGTGGGCGTGGGCGGGTGGGCGTGAGCGGGTGGGCGTGCGCGTGGGCGTGGGTGTGGGCGAGGGCGCGGGCGTGGGCGTGGGCGGGTGGGCTTGGGCGGGTGGGCGTGGGCGTGTGCGTGCGCGTGTGTGTGCGCGTG